GATAACTTTTCTAATCCGCGGCCCTCTTGAGACTCCTATTACCCGCAGCAGCTGTAGGGCCCAACTAAAACTCCTATTATCCGCTGATCTATTTCTTCCTATTATCCGCGATCTTACCGATAATCGATTGCGGAGCGGGTGCTGCATGCTTGTAGTCCCCCCCCCCTCCCCATGGACAAGAGTCACGTGGAAAATGGCTCCAAATTCCCGCTGGTTATCCATGATTAACTGACGGAGATGACAGGCATAATGCTCCAGCTCACCACTTTGCTGTATTTTATCCGCCACGGCGCTCCGCTCGCTGTTGTTAGCGTGACCCCCACGTTTGCCTTCCATTGTTGCTGGAGGGCGATCGCCTCCATCTGCCCGGTAGCGACCTTTACACCGCTGGTGCCAGGCATCGGCAAGTCTAATGAGCTATATATGATTGTCATCTACAGAGCAATCTAACGAAGGAAACTACCCAACGCGGGAATTGAATCCTAACCACTAAACTATGTTGGATGTTACAAACAGGCTAGAAAACATCCATAAACACAGACTAGAATAATCCGTGATTATTTTATTGCCAAAATTCGCAAAGTCATCTCAAATAGGAATGGCACGTACGACTTTTTCTCCGTAATCATTGACATCTCGAGATCAATCCAACTTAAAAAAATACAATACATTACTTTCCATACCGGGAATTGAACCCGGGCCGCCTGGGTGAAAACCAGGAACCCTAACCATAAAATGTAGCAAAGTGGTGAGCTGGAGCATCTTGCCTGTAATCTCCGTCAGTTAATCATGGATAACCAGCGGGAATTTGAAGCCATTTGCCACGTGACTCTTGTCCATGGATGGTGGGGGGACTACTAAAACCATGCAGCACCCGCTCCGCAATCGATTATCGGTAAGATCGTGGTTTATAGGAAGAAATAGATCAGCAGATAATAGGAGTTTTAGTTGGGCCCTACAGCTGCTGCGGGTAATAGGAGTCTCAAGAGGGCCGCGAATTAAAAAAGTTATCCTGTTCAATAAAATTAACGTAAGAGTCTCAACAACTTGAACTATCATTATAAAGTAAGAATGGCACACACATGACTTATTCAACATAATTCTACGTGACTTTGCCTAAAGAACCAAAGAATAAAACGTAATTGCTTTACTACCGGCGTAAACCAATTAACAAAAAAATATTACAATAAATGTTCTCGAAAAAAGTGTCGAACTCACATCGAGCCAGCAAATCCAATGAGGAAAATAAAACCTTAGTTCCCATACCGGGAATTGAACCCGGGCCGCCTGGGTGAAAACCAGGAATCCTAACCACTAGACCATATGGGAGGCTGGTTAATGGCACTCTAAATGCATTCGTAGTCGTATACCTAAATTTTTACTCCTATTGTAAAAAACTTGCAAAGTTATCATGAAATAGTGAAAGAAACCATGTCTCATCAACCATTACATTCTTCATCATCACCATCAGCCATGGTCAGTCCAATGCTGGATGAAGGCCTCCCTAAGCTACCAGCGCTCATGATCATGTGATGCAACAATCCGCTCAGCACCTGCACACAAACTGATTTGATGATTTTGCAATCATCATCAAAATTTTGAAAAAAACAGAATATAACTAACATTACATTCAAGCATTCTAAGTAAGATAATACATTTTCCATACGAGAAAAAACACATTTTGATATTGACACAGCAACAAAACAAGAAAAGAGATTAAATGACGTACTAATTTTCTCTCCAATACCAGGAATTGCACCCAGGCTGCCGAGGGGGAAAACAGGAACCCTAACCACTGGGCCATATAGGATATCACACACAGGATAGAAAAAATCCATAAACAAAGACTAGAAAAATCCATCATTATTTTATTGCCAAAATTTGCAAAGTCATCTCAAATTAGAATGTCACAAATTTTGACTTAAAACTTTCGTGACTGCAGGAATTCATATTCTTGATTCTTTCGGTAAAGTCACGTAAATAGAAAACAAAAAATATAATATTTTTTAAAACAAAATCTAAATGATGAATTGAAAATAATGAAAGCTTTATTATTTTAAATTTATAAAAAAAAAGTATTTCTATAATTTTAGATTATTATTTTTTCTTTATTTATTGTTTGCTTCTTCTGGGTTCTTTCGGTAAAGTCACGTAGAATGGAAATAAAATAATAAAAATAAAACATAATAAAATAAAATTCTCACGACGTTTCGGCCACAACACAAGTAGCCTTCTTCAGGTGAAGAAACAGGACTGCCCAGAAGACAGCGCTTGAGTGAACACTGCCAAGCAAGTGCAGCGTCTTTTAAGCTGTGTGGGGGGAATTAACATGTGAATAGGGACAATCTCGGAAGGTGGAGTGGGGGGGGTGAAAACGTGGATACAACAAAACCGCCACGGTGCTCTGTCCTGTGTTGCGTTATAACTGTGCTATAAACTGGACTACTATACAATACAATATTATACCTTTCAATATAAACTACATGGTATAATACCATATCCATAGACAAATTCCACCTTTGGATTATGCAATGCGTTACTATACCTTACCCTATACTTTAGACTATAAAATATTAGACTCGTAATATTACACTGTCTTATTCTATCAACCCTCCTGTATACCACATTGCTGTATATTCACTATACAATTACGATACTATATATTGCCCCATGAATTATGTTAAACATTACAATGTTATAGTATTTATTATTATACAACATGCTATAAGCCATACCATTGACCGTCGTGTGAAAGGTATCAAGAGGCAGTGCCTGCAAATGGGCTGTGGTCTGAAGGTCACCGTAAAATACAATAAATTAAGAACCGAAATGGTTTATAACATCTTTACAATGGTTACTAAGCCAGAATCCATCTTCTCGGTTGAAATTGTCTCTGTGTTTGTATATGTGGATGGCCTCATGAACGAATCTCTCATGGTAGCCGGATGGCTTGCAGAGAACTTCCGTCTTGGAGAAGTCAATGTCATGTGAGCCCACTGAATTATAACAGTGATCTGCCACGGCTGAGGAGTTCGTCCTACCGTGTTTCAAGTCTGCTTTATGTTCACGGATGTGGTCCGAGATATGTCGTTTGGTTTCTCCAATGTAGCTGCTACCACAGAGGCAACTTAGTTTGTAAACGCCTGGGTACTGTATGTCTGGAACCACATCTTTCACAGACGGAACCAGATCACGGATTTTATGTACTGTGTTGAATCCGACCAGGATCTTGTGTTTATTCAGGATTTTGGAGATTTTTTTGTGACCCCCGCAATGTAGGGTAAGGTGATGGTTTTGAATGGCTCCTCAAGAGGATCCTTCCTCATGACTGGAGTGATGGCTTTGCGGATTGTGTAGTCGGAGTAACCATTAGCCTTGAGAGCCTGGTGTACGTGCTTGGGTTCACTGGCAATGTGTTCCTGGTTGGAAATGCATTGGGCTCTATGGTGTAGAGTCTTGATGAGGGAGTTCTTCTGGGATGGATGGTGGTGGGAATCCGGTTGTAAGTAAGCATCCGTATGGGTAGCTTTCCTGTAGATAGAGTGGCTCATTGAACCATCAGGCCTCCTTTTAATTAGTACATCCAAAAAGGATAGCTTGCCATCTTTTTCGACTTCCATGGTAAATCTGATGGCTGGGTGTATGGAATTGATGTGGTCGAGGAATTGATCTAGAGCAGGCCGGCCATGTGGCCAGATGGCAAAAGTGTCATCCACGTACCTCTTCCACAAGGTCGGGCGTAAAGTGGCAGTCTGGATGGCGTCAATTTCACATTTCTCATGAACACGTTGGCTACCACCAGAGATAAGGGGGAGCCCATTGGGGGGCCCTCAGTTTGTAGAAAGTTCCATTCCAGGTGAAGCATGTGTTGGTTAAGCAGTGTCTCACCAGGGGGGGGGGGGGGGTACATCAATATGCAATCCTTGATGAACCAAGTCTTCAATGATTGCGATGGTGTCAAGTACAGGAACTTTGGTGAATAAGGAAACTACATCAAAGCTGACAAGCAGGTCGTCTGGGGACAGGGAAAAACCCTTGATTGTCGATACCAGGTGAGTAGAGTTTAGTACCGCAGAGGTGGTTTTCCCAGTGAAAGGTCACAGGATATCAGACAGAAAACGAGCCAGTTTGTAGGTGGGGGAGTTGATAGTGGAGATGATGGGACGAAGGGGTGTATCTTCTTTACGTATCTTTGGAAGACTATATAATCTTGGTGGTCTGGCCGCAGAAGGTTTCAACGAGAACTGTTTGGTTTGATCAATTAATGCTGTTGAATGAGAAATTATTTTGTTGGCTTTAGTAACCAGGCTGTTGGTGGGGTCTCTTCTTATTTTTGTATAGATGCCATCGTTGAGTAGTTCCTGAATTTTGTTGTTATATTCTATTTTTTTCATGATGACGGTGGCATTGCCCTTGTCAACTGAGAGGATGACAATGTCATCTCTGTTTTTTAATTGAGATCATTCAAAGCTCTCATCTTTGCTGATGTTGCTAGGTGGCATCTTAGCGTTTTTGAGGGTTGCAGCGATTTCAGATCTTGCTACGTCTGCAGCGATGTGACCCAGGCCCTTAAGTGCAACATCGACATGGGCAATGATATCATTAACTGGTATGTGTTTAGGTGTGACAGCAAAGTTTAGCCCTTTAGCTAAAACGGATTTCAGACAATAAGAGATAGAGCTGTCACTCCGATTAATCACGACTTTGCTGACGTCTAGCTTTTCGGTGTGAGGGTCCGGTTTTTTGTTGGAATGGCGGTTGAATTTGGAAATAAAATTGTCCTTACATTTGGTCGACATAGTGGCAGCTGAAGAGGCAGTCATATTGTCGACCTTTTTCCAATCCGATGGGGACATTGTTGCCGTCAATGATAAGTGTGATTTGTACATATAAGTGTGATTTTTGCAAAGTCATCTCAAATAACAATGTCACATACGACTTTGTCTCCGTAATCATTGACAACTCGAGATCAATCCAACTTATAAAACACAATACATTACTTCCCATACCGGGAAGTGAACCCGGGCCGCTTGGGTGAAAACCAGAAATCCTATCCACTAGACCATATGGGAGGCTGGGCAAAGTCGCTGTAAATGCATTGGTAGACGCATACCATAATATTAACTCATTGTAAGAAATAAATTGCAAAGTTATCATGAAATAGTGAAGAAAACCACGTCTCATCTACCATTACATTCTTCATCGTCACTATCAGCCATGGTCAGTCCACTGCTGGATGAAGGCCTCCCCAAGCTACCAGCGCTCATGATCACGTGATGCAACAATCCGCTCAGCAACTGCACACAAACTGATTTGATGATTTTTCAATCATCATCAAAATTATGAAAAAACCGGAACATACCTTACGTTACACTCAAGCCTTCTAAGTAAAATAATAAATTTTCTCTACGAGAAAAAACATATTTTGATTTTGACGCAGCAACGAAACCAAAAATAAGATTCAATTACGTTTTTTTTCCCATCCCGGGAATTGCACTCAAACTGCCTAGGCAGAAGCCAAGAACCCTAACCACTGGGCCATACAGGATATTACACACAGACTAGTAATAATCCATGAACACAGACTAGAATAATCCGTGATTATTTTATTGCCAAAATTTGCGAAGTCATCTGAAATGAGAATGCCACGTACGACTTTTTCTCCGTTATCTTTGACATCCAGAGATCAATCCATCTTTAAAAAAATACAATATCACTGTAAATGTATTCGTAGACATTGTAAAAAAACTTGCAAAGTTCTCATGAAATAGTGAAGGAAACCACGTCTCATCTACCATTACATTCTTCATCGTCACTATCGGCCATGGTCAGTCCACTGCTGGATGAAGGCCTCCCCAAGCTTCCAGCGCTCATGATTATGTGATGCAACAATCCGCTTAGCAGCTTCACACAAACTGATTTCATGATTTTGCAATCATCAAAATTACGGAAAAAAAACAGAACATACCTAACATTACATTCAAGCATTCTAAGCAAATTAATACATTTTCTATACGAGAAAAAAACATTTTGATATTGACGCAGCAACGAAACCAACAATAAGATTAAATGATGTACTAATTTTTCTCTCCCATACCGGGAATTGCACCTCAACTGTCTAGGCAGAAGCCAGGAACCGTAACCACTGGTCCATACAGGATACTACACACAGGCTAGTAATAGTCCATGAACACAGAGTAGAATAATCCATGATTATTTTATTGTCAAAATTTGCGAAGTCATCTCAAATAAGAATGCTATAAATTTTGACTTTAAACTTTCGTGACTGCAGGAATTCAAGTCACGTAAATAGAAAACAAAAAATCTAATAATTTTTTTAAATAATAAATTGAAAATAATGAAAGCTTTTATCATTTTCAATAAATAAAAAATATATTTTCATAATTTTAATTTATTATTTATTGTTTTCTATTTACGTGACTTTACCGAACGAACCAATAATAAGAATGCCACACGCGACTTTTTCTCCGTAATCATTGACATCTCGAGATAAATCTAACTTAAAAAACACAATACATTACTTCGCATACCGGGAATTGAACCCGGGCCGCCTGGGTGAAAACCAGGAATCCTAACCACTAGACCATATGGGAGGCTGGGCAAAGTCGCTGTAAATGCATTGGTAGTCGTATACCATAAAATTCATTGGTTGTAAAAAAACTTGCAAAGTTATCATGAAATAGTGAAGGAAACCATGTCTCATCTATCATTACATTTTTCATCGTCACCATCAGCCATGGCCAGTCCACTGCTGGATGAAGGCCTCCCCAAGTTACCAGCGCTCATGATCATGTGATGCAACAATCCGCTCAGCACCTGCACACAAACTGATTTGATAATTTTACAATCATCATCAAAATTACGAAAAAAACAACATACCTAACGTTACACTCAAGCATTCTAAGTAAAATAATAAATTTTCTATACGAGAAAAAAAACATATTTTGATTTTGACGCGGCAACGAAACTAAAAATAAGATTAAATTTCGTACTAACTTTTTCTTTCCCATCCCGTGAATTGCACCCAGACTGCCTAGGGAGAAGCCAGGAATCCCGACCACTGGGCCATACAGGATATTACACACACGCTAGTAATAATCCATAAACACAGACTAAAATAATCCATGATCATTTTATTGCAAAAATTTGCGAAGTCATCTCAAATTAGAACGCCATAAATTTTGACTTTTAACTTTCGTGACTGCAGGAATTCAAGTAACGTAAATAGAAAACAAAAAATCAAATATATTTTTTAATAAATTGAAAATAATAAATTTTAAATAATGAAAGTTTTTATTATTTTCAATTAATAATTTTAATTATATTTTCATAATTTGAATTTTATTTTATAATTTATGTTTCAAATATTGTTTTCTATTTACGTGACTTTACCGAACGAACCAAGAATAAGAATGCCACATGCGACTTTTTCTCCGTAATCATTGACATCTCGAGATCAATCCAACTTAAAAAAAAACACCCACAATACATTACTTCCCACACCGGGAATTGAACCCGGGGCGCCTGGGTGAAAACCAGGAATCCTAACCACTAGACCATATGGGAGGCTGGGCAACGACGCTGTTAATGCATTGGTAGTCGTATACCATGATATTAACTCGTTGTAAAAAACTTGCACAATTATCATGAAATAGTGAAGGAAACCATGTCTCATCTACTATTACATTCTTCATCGTCACCATCAGCCATGGTCAGTCCACTGCTGGATGAAGGCCTCCCCAAGTTACCAGCGCTCATGATCATGTGATGCAACAATCCGCTCAGCACCTGCACACAAACGGATTTGATGATTTTACAATCATCATCAAAATTATGAAAAACCAGAACATACCTAACGTTACACTCAAGCAGTCCAAGTAAAATAATAAATTTTCTCTACGAGAAAAAACATATTTTGATTTTGACGCAGCAACGAAACCAACAATAAAATTAAATTACGTATTATTTTTTTTCCCATCCCGAGAATTGCACCCAAACTGCCTAGGCAGAAGCCAAGAACCCTAACCACTGGGCCATACAGGATATTCCACACAGGCTTGTAATAATCCATGAACACAGACTAGAATAATCCGTGATTATTTTATTGTCAAAATTTGCAAAGTCATCTCAAATAAGAATGCCACGTTCGACTTTTTCTCCGTAATCTTTGACATCCACAGATCAATCCATCTTTAAAAAATACAATATCACTGTAAATGTATTCGTAGACATGGTAAAAAAAACTTGCAAAGTTATCATGAAATAGTGAAGGAAACCACGTCTCATCTACCATTACATTCTTCATCGTCACTATCGGCCATGGTCAGTCCACTGCTGGATGAAGGCCTTCCCAAGCTTCCAGCGCTCATGATTATGTGATGCAACAATCCGCTTAGCAGCTTCACACAAACTGATTTCATGATTTTGCAATCATCAAAATTACGGAAAAAAACAGAACATACCTAACATTACATTCAAGCATTCTAAGAAAAATAATACATTTTCGATACGAGAAAAAAACATTTTGATATTGACGCAGCAACGAAACCAACAATAAGATTAAACGATGTACTAATTTTTCTTTCCCATACCGAGAATTGCACCCAAACTGTCTAGGCAGAAGCCAGGAACCCTAACCACTGGGCCGTACAGGATACTACACACAGGCTAGTAATAATCCATGAACACAGACTAGAATAATCCATGATTATTTTATTGTCAAAATTTGCGAAGTCATCTCAAATAAGAATGCCATAAATTTTGTCTTTAAACTTTCGTGACTGCAGGAATTCAAATCACGTAAATAGAAAACAAAAAATCTAATATTTTTTTTTTAAAAATAATTTGAAAATAATGAAAGCTTTTATCATTTTCAATAAAAAAAAATTATTTTATCTTCATAATTAAAATTTATTATTTATTGTTTTCTATTTACGTTACTTTACCGAACGAACCAATAATAAGAATGCCACATATGACTTTTTCTCCGTAATCATTGACATCTCGAGATCAATCCAACTTAAAAAACACAAAACATAACTTCCCATACCGGGAATTTAACCCGGGCCGCGTGGGTGAAAACCAGGAATCCTAACCACTAGACCATATGGGAGGCTGGGCAAAGTCACACTAAATGCATTGGTAGTCGTATACCAACATTTTTACTCATTTTGTAAAAAAAACTTGCAAAGTTATCATGAAAAAGTGAAGGAAACCACGTATCATCTACCATTACATTCTTCATCGTCACCATCAGCCATGGTCAGTCCACTGCTGGATGAAGGCCTCCCCAAGTTACCAGCGCTCATGATCACGTGATGCAACAATCCGCTCAGCACCTGCACACAAACTGGTTTGATGATTTTTCAATCATCATCAAAATTATGAAAAAACCAGAACATACCTTACGTTACACTCAAGCATTCTAAGTAAAATAATACATTTTCTACACGAGAAAAAACATATTTTGATTTTGACGCGGCAACGAAACTAAAAATAAGATTAAATTTCGTACTAACTTTTCTTTCCCATCCCGTGATTTGCACCCAGACTGCCTAGGGGAAAGCCAGGAACCCCAACCACTGGGCCATACAGGATATTACACACAGACTAGTAATAATCCATAAACACAGACTAGAATAATCCATGATCATTTTATTGCCAAAATTTACGAAGTCATCTCAAATAAGAACGCCATAAATTTTGACTTTTAACTTTCGTGACTGCAGGAATTCAAGTAACGTAAATAGAAAACAAAAAATATAATACATTTTTAAATAAAATAAAAAATAATAAATTTTAAATAATGAAAGTTTTACTTATTTTCAATTAATAATTTTTATTATATTTTCATGATTTGAATTTTACAATTTATGTTTCACATATTGTTTTCTATTTACGTGACTTTACCGAACGAACCAAGAATAAGAATGCCACACGCGACTTTTTCTCCCAACTTAAGAAAGACAATACATTACTTCCCATACGGGGAATTGAACCCGGGCCGCCTGGGTGAAACCCAGGAATCCTAACCACTAGACCATATGGGAGG